ATAATCAACCTATCAGCAGAGCTGTTTTCCCTTCTGAAGGCTCTGTGGGAGTATCTGTGCCTTCCTTGGTGACATTTCAGAGGCTGACAGCATTCTGTGACCCTTGGCCTCCTGTGTTCAAATTCAAAGCCAACCATGCAGAATCTCTTTGACTCATTCTGTTTTCATAACTATTTGTGATTCAATGTGGGAAATGTTCTCCGCCTTTAAGGACTCCTGTCATAACACTGAGCCACTGGGTCATCCAGGGTCAATCTCCTCAACTCAGGCACTTCCCCAAATCACACCTGCAAAGCTCCATTCACCATGTAGGCCATATATATATTCACAGGTTCAGGGGATTGAGAATGAGATGCAGGCATTTTTAGGGAGCCATTCTTCTCAATACAAAACATTATGAGCAAATTTAGTATATTTACTAGAAAGAAAATTGCAGTGATGGGGCGCCTGAGTGGCTCAGTCGGTTAAGCTTCTGACTCTTGATTTTGGCTCAGGTCATGATCTCAGGGTCCTGAGACTGATTCCTGTGTCAGGCTTCACACATGGTGGCGTGGGGGGGGCGGGGAGTCTGCTGAAGTCTCTCTCTCCTACTCCCCCTCCCCCTCCCCCCATTCTCTCTCTCATTAAAATAAATAACTTTTTTTTGAATTTTATTTTTTTCAGTGTTCTAAAATTCATTGTTTATGCACCACAGCCAGTGCTCCATGCAATACGTGCCCTCCACTTTTTTTTCAAAAAAGAAATAAAACTGCAGTGATAAATAAGGCTTTATAAATGAGGTCTACTCCATTTAAGCTGGAAGGAAGGAAGGAAGGAAGGGACGAACGAACGAACAAACAGACTGGGGGTGCTCTCTGGAGGAGGACAACCTATGGACCCAACCAGTCCCTCCCCTCAGGGCTGGGCAGACATTCAGTGAATGGTCTGCCCCGGGTTCCCCTGACATAGTACACACCCAGGACTCGTCATGAGATTCCACATAAGTCAGGGATTATGTCTGTTCACCCCACCCAGCCCCAGGATGGCCACACAGTAGCCTCACCCTGGGTCAGGCCATGCCCACTTGTGGGAAAGGAGTCTGGATTTAGTCTTGAAATTGCCTATGCAAGGGGGACCTCCTCTCTTTTCTTCTGTGCCATCTGCCCTGCCTGAGCAGCCTCTGCATTCTTTATTACGACACAGGAGGTCAATATCCCCACCCCACAACGGGGGTCCAACAGACGGAGGAATGTCACAAGCCTGTTGGGAAAAAATCCCCACAATCCCGATAGTGACACTTGGCCTGGCCCTGTCCCTCAGGCTGCAGTCGCTTGTCAGACCCAGCTCTCCAGGCTTGTGTATCCTCTGTGGAGGGCCCACCACAAGTCCAGAGTCCTCTTCCTGGACACAGCAGACTAACTAGATTCCAGTCAAAAAAGAGAGAAAGAACCTTCAGCAATGTTCATGCCATGCCTGCTGTGGTCTTATATCAGAGCCGCCTTATCTCACAGTCTTTTAGTCCCAGGGTCTTGTTGCCCCCGGTGGGGAAAGATGGTGTGCCTCCAAGCCAGAAGGAACAGACACAGGGATGTGGCTCTTTGATGAAGGAGAGACCAGAGTTATCAAAAAGGACTTGAGTGACTTGAGGAATTCTGTTAAGTTTACAACCCCTCCCCCCAGCACCCAGAGCAAGCAAGAGATAGTCTATGGAGAGCAGCTCAGAACTGACAGTTCTGAGAACTGACAGTACTGAATGTTGTTTGGGAAGGTGGCATGGTTTGGAAAGGCTGTTGACATCATATTCTGGTAGAATTGTGGGGACTAGTATATGGGCAGTTTTGTGTGCTAGGGAGGGTTGCTTATTTGGAGAGACCAGAAGCTTTGAGCAACTGGAAAGTTCATATTTGGGGTAAGTTTGGATGTGTTGATTTGAGGAAGGCAGCACATTGAGAGTGACTGTGGGTTTGGAGATTTTGGCTTTGTGGATGATGTGGGATTAGAGGGACGAGGGACGAGGATGGGTATTTGGAGACTTTTGAGGAATTTAGTCATTTGGAGCTTGAGAAATTTGGTGGATTGGTTTAGGGCTTGACACACTTGAAATTATGCGACTGGTGGATTTGGGAAGTTAGGTGGACATGGGAATTTGAGCATCATGGAAAATTTAGGACTTGAGTTTGGAAAGTTTGGAAATACTGATGCCTTGAGGGAGGATAGAGGTTTGGAGCGTTTCATGTGTTGGAACAAGTGGGTATATTTGGGCAGTATGGTGTGTTTGGGAGGTTTGTTGGTTTGGAGAGGGTGAGTGGCATAAGGATATTGGTCGGTTTGGGGGCAGGTGATGGATATAGGACATGGTTGGGCTTGAGGGGGTTGACAGACATGAAACATTGGTGAATTTGGGGAGGTTGAGGCTTTGGTATGTTTGGTTTTGAAGGCTAGTATTTTTGGAAGGTTGCTGATTTGTGGAAATTGGCAGCTTTAGGGATGTGGGTAGATTCATGGATGGTGGGATGTGTAGGATGATTAGGTGCTTTGGACATTTTCTTGGGTTTGAAGAGTGAGAGTTTTGGTGACACTGGTGAGTATAGTGAAGATGGGGTTTGGGAGAGGTTATCACATTGGAGGAGGCATAGTATATGGAGAGGTTTTGGAATTGGAGACATTGAATGTTTTATGGAGGTTGATGACTTAAGGTGTGTTTAAGGGTTTGGTTAAATTAGTAGATGTGAGTATTTTAGAAACTTGAAGAAATTGTTTGGCTTGTGGAGAATGGTAAGCTTGGAAATGGGGCTAGACCTCTGTCAGATGGAATAGAGAAGGCCATGAGCTGTTGATCACATTTACACTGATTAGCTCCATAGGGTAGGCCGATGTCATTCGACTTTGGCACCTGATGGATGCAGGGCAGCGGTGTCCCACTCAAAACCAGGTATCTATCTTTCCTTATGGAAGAGTGTGGTCAATGTAGCTAAGATCATCATTCCTCTTCTCCCTAGTCCTATTCCCAACCCAATTTGGGGGAGATAATAAGATTAGGGGATCAAGGTAGAGAAAGAAGAGGCAAAAAACTGGGTGAGGGAGCAAGGACTAAGGAAACAGAGCAGAGAACACAGTGATGGGGAACAAAAAGGAGCAGGGAGCAGTGGTACAAATCACAGAAGAGAGCATGGAACAAGGTGAGGTGGCAGAGAAAAGAGAGAAAAAGCAAGAAAGAGAAGACGGACCGGTAATAGGGAAATAAAGGCCACAGATGGTCCTGCACTGCGGGTACAACTGAGGGAGCCGGTCACAGTACAAATACACTACAAGTTGCCTTGTTTCTACTCACAGCTGTGTTCTTCCCACTCCAGTTTCCACTGTATATATTCAAGTTCAACTTCTAGCATTCAGGAGGTCTAGAAAGGAAAGAACCCATGGCATGAGGGTCATCACAGTGTATGCAGATAGGCACAGGCAGGTTCCTAGTGTGGTTTATGAATTCAAAGCCTCGGTTCCAGAGGCTCTAACATCCTGGGGCAAGTACAGAAGTAGGTATGGTCATGCAGACCCGGAAACTGTGTTCTAGTGACGTCACGAAAAAATGTCCTTAGAAAGGTACACTTTCCTGGACTTGCGGGTGAAGCCCAGGATGGAAATGTTTGTGTAGAGGATGAGAGGGCAAGTATCTTGAAATTGATCGACTCACCCCAAATGCAGAATTTCCCACTGGAGATGCCCACTTCGGGATGTAAGCACAATTATTCTCCTTAGCAGTCATATAAATAAACTCAAATGCCCTTCAGTTCCCGTGACCCTCTGTAATGAGAATTGAAAAGTATTTGTGTGAGCCCAGGGTCTTACTATGTCTTCAGGATTCACTGGACTCCAGAAACTTACTTCCCTCTTGTAGAGCTGGTTTGTTTGTTTGTTTGTTTGTTTGTTTTTAATACCTTGTATTTTGGTGGGAATATGGATGTGGGAAGAGTTAAACCAACTTAACCTGGTGACGTGGATTCATGAAAAAGCATATTCCAGCTGACATGACGAGAAGCTTGGAATTGGGCACATCACGCGGAGGGAAAGCAAATTACAATTAGGGAACCCTTACCGGGAAGGGATGGAAGAGTTTACCCTTCGGAGTGATCAGAGATGGAGTCTATTTCTCCGAAGATTACGCAACTAATGGAAATGGAATTTTTCTTAACCCAACTAAGGTAAATGGAAATCCTGCGGGCAATGGAGCCAGGACTCTCGTCTGCCGATCCTCAAAGGCTTTGTCCTGCGGTTTAAAAACAAATCCGGCTTCTGCCACTTTCTAAACTAGGGAGGGCATCCTCTAGGGGGCGGGTCCCCAGCGGCGGAGGCGTCGCACCTTCCCTCTTCCAGCCAATGGTGGCGCGCAGAAGCCGGAGGGGCATTTTCCTCAACCAACCAGAGCTCCTAGGCCTTTCAAAGCCACGCCTGCATGTCCCTCCCTCGTGCCCGGACTCCTAAACCGCAAAGCTCCGCCTACAGAGTTTTGTTCCGAAGTGAGGTCTACCGGCCTTTAGAGGATCTGGGCAGACCTTGGGCAGCCCGCACACTGCCTTCGTAAGCCCACTCCCCCGCCCCCATGAGGATGTCCACGGCTGTCCGTTTCCCCAGAGACTGTCGAGATCTTTACCGGTCACACGGTACTTTCTGCGTCTGAGAAGCCCTTCTTTCGCTTCTTTAGCAACAGAGCCCCATAGGCTGGCCAGACTGCGCTCAGCGCTCCGATTGGAAACGGGGACTGTCCGTCAATTATTTCACCCCATCGCTTTTTCAGGTGGATTAGGGAGGATGAAGTAGCCTCCATTTGGGGGGAGCGCGCCTATTGGTCGGATATTGGTAACTATCCTGACCTGCTGTGAAAGTCCTCGAGCCTTCGATTGGGCCCAGGGATATGTCAGTCAAGATGGGCGGGTGCAATCGCAATGCCGCGCACAGAATTGGTGGAGATACGGCGCAGCCCGCCTGGCTGCGGAACCGCAGGAGAGCCGGCTTCTCCTGATTGGGCCAAAAGGGAAGCCCTCCGGCTCCGGATTGGCTGAACGCGAGCCGCGCCCCCGTCACGCCGATAGCCTACTGTAAGGGAGGCTGCCCGGCTCGACTGTGTTAGCCTTCCGAGCCAGTGCGCTGAAAGGAGCTCTTAGGCGGCGCACCCGGTCTCCAGCCAGACCGACGTAAATCCGGGAGTGGAGCGCGTCATCTCAACGGTGAGGGGACACTAGCGTGCGGCGGGAGACCGGGTTGCTGCGCGGCGGAGAGCTAATAAAGCGCCGCAGCCGGAAGTGTCTTCAGAGCGGCGTCGTACCCGGAAGTGTGGCAAGAGGGCAGCCGCACCCGGAAGTGTGATGTTGCCGCTGCCTGGGAAGTGATGGTACCCGGCCAATTGGGATACGGGATTAAAACAGGTGTTTATGTCTCTTTATCTGCTGAAGCTCATTAGAACCTCCTTTTCGGGAAGTCTTGGAGGGTGCAAGTAGTTGGTCGTGTTTTTGCTTGTCTCATCCTGTTGAAACCCGAGGGGAAACAAGCACTAGGAATGTGTTCAAGGGGTCCAGGCTCAGTAGAGGCTTTTAAGAAGTTTCTTTTGCTGCCTGTCACCCTCAATTCCCTTACCCCACAGGGATGTGCAGATGGAGGCTGGAGGAGACACTACTGCCCCAGCCCCTGGGGACGCGGAGGACTTGGAGGACACTCGGTTCCCCAGTGAGGAGGATGGAGAGGTTCACGAGGCCCCGCCGGATCCTGGGGACGGGGACCTGGAGAAAACAGGTATGCCTTCCTCTCACCAGGGTCTTGGAAAGAATACCTAGAGGGTGTCATTGCTGGGGGAGGTCCGAGGGGGACCAGCGAGGAGTCTTTTGGGACTCAGGAAAGTAGTTTAGAGCATAGCAGGATTATTAGTAGGAGGCCATGGTGGACACACAATGTAGTTTAAGTCGTTGAGAAATGAAGTCAGTGGGTGTCAGAGTGATGTTCACTGGGGACTTGGTCTGAGTTCAGGCCTTTGAGGAATCAGAGGTCAGCAGGCGCCAACGAGGGGCATGGGGGATTTAGGATGTTAAGGTCAATGAATGACCAAAAGAAAGTCGATATGACCAAAGGGGAACTATTTAAAAGTCTGTGTCTTTTGAGGCTAGGGTGTTACTTAAGTCATTGAGGTGGGAAAGGGGATCAGTGGTGACAAATGCACATTCAGTGTTTACATCTTTGAGAAAGTCAGTGGTGAGTTGTTGGTGGCAGTCTTTAAGGAACCAGAAATTAGTAGATGTTAATGGTGATCATCCGTGAGGTAGCAATGGACATCGATGAGATTATCTGGAGAGTCGGACGACGGATAGGAGGGTATTTGAAGACCTAGGTCGGTGCGTAGAGGTACTCAGTGGAGACTCATTGGGAGTCATTGCGGAAGCAATGCACATGGACCGCTTCGGAATGAGTGGATGCTGGTGGCATCATCAGGAAGGATGCGTGGACGTCTCTGAGAATAAAGGGTGTGGGTGAGGGTTGTCTGAGAATTCGGGAATTATTGGCAAGTAATGGCAGCTCTTGAGAAGGTAACTGGGAGGAGGACATGGGGGATAAGCAAATGTCAATCAAAGAATGAGGAATATGAGGTTATCAGGATTTTATAGGAAAATTGTTGAAATAAGGGTTGTCAATGGAAGATCAGTGGACATTGACTGGAATGAATGGGGGGGTGTCAAGGGAATCAGGGGGCGGTCATGGGTTTTATTGCTGATTGTTAATGATGGTCATGAGGAGGGGAGATGGAGGTCATTATTATAGTCCTGTGTGTTAGTGTATGTTATGGGGATATTGTAAGGAGGGGAGTGGATTATCAATGAGAACAACAGGAGGTCAGGGAAGTCAGAGGATGTCACTGAAGTCCTGGATATTAGTGGAAATTAATAGTAGTCATTGGAGGAGATGGGAGAATGAAATAAAAAAGGGTCAGGTGAATCAGGAGAGGTTATTTGAGGTCTTGGATGTTAGTAGAGGTCAATGGTAGTCATGGTGGGGAGTGGAGTGCACATGGGGTAAAATAGATTGTGTGTCAGGGTAGTCACTGGAGGTCATTGAAGACCCAGGTATTAGTGATATTAGTGGAATAATTGGAATGTTAGTGAACCGCAGTGGGAGTAAATAGGGGGTTAGGGGAGGCTAAAAGATATGGGTGCTAGTGGACATTCATGGCAGTCATTGGGAGAATTAGTGGTTATCACCAAAAATATACATGGGTGACCAGAAGAGTCAATGAGGCCATTAGGGATCAGTGAACATTCATGACAATAAATAAGGTATTAGGGAGGGATGGGGCAGGGGAAGGATTTAAATGAGAGACTATGGAGATATTAGTGGGTATCATGGTGGCCAATGAGAGGTGAGTAGTCGATACTAGGAAAATATGTGAGGGGTCAACAATACATGGGGGATTGTTGAAGATGAAGTTATTAATAATGGTCATTCAGAAGCAATAGCATGCTTTGAAGTCTTGAAAGTGGCAGTTATTGGAAGGAGAATAAACAGTCTCTAGGGATATAGAGGGCTCAGTAATGACAGTGATTGGATTGTTGGGGCTTTAGGGGGATCGTGTGGAGGTCATTGAGGGGCTAAGGGGACACCTGGGGGTCTCTGTCAGCATCAGGGGTCAGTGGGGGGGCGCTGGTAGAGATTTGATAAGTCCTTGGGCACATGGGGTTAAGGGGAGTCCACAGCCAGATGACCCACCAGGAGTTCCCTTTCAGAATCCGAGATGAAGGATCAGCCATCCAGCCTGCTGTCACCACTGCCCCAAACAGAGGCCCCATCATGCAACTGTGGGCTTTGGGATCCTGCAGCCTCAGAGAATAGTCCCGTGGGTGGCGCCGAGAGGGGCTCTGGGGGCCAGGGCGGGGACCCCAGTGACGAGGACTGGCGCAGCAAGCGAAAGCACGTGTTTGTGCTGAGCGAGGCAGGCAAGCCCATCTACTCAAGGTATGGTAGCGTGGAGGCACTGTCGACGACCATGGGTGTGATGACGGCCCTCGTGTCCTTCGTGCAGAGTGCAGGAGATGCCATCCGCGCCATCTATGCTGGTGAGCAAAGGAGGAGGAGGTAGAGCAGGGGATGGTGACTGGGAAAATGGCTGACCGGCCAGCCGGCTGCCTGGGAAATTGTCCAGGCAGCCAGGGGCAAGTCCGGGTATGTGGGTGGCTGGCCAGGATCTGTCTGTTGTCTGTTTGGCCTGCTGGGTTCTGAGTGATTAACACACCTGGATCTGAGTCACTGGATACTTCCTGGTTTATCTGAAAGCGTGACTTTGGCGGCTCAGCTTTGTGGCTGAGTTGGGTGTCTCTAGGTTCCATGTCAGTCCTTGCTCTGTTGTCCCCTGACCCATGCTTTGTGTCTAACCTGATTCCTTGACTGTCCCATCATGTCTCTACAACTAATCCAGACTCCCCCAAGCTGTCCTTATCCCCGTCCCAGTGTGCCGCCGAGTGACCACGTGAGCTTGGGCTAGGAGTGCGTGTGTTCAGGGAAAGAGCGGCAGAGCCCTGCCTGACCCCGCCAGTCGCCGCTGACCCCTCTCTACCCCCTGACCCCCTTCCCTCCCCCAGAGGACCACAAGCTGGTGTTCCTACAGCAGGGCCCACTGCTGCTGGTGGCTGTGTCGAGGACTCCTCAGTCGGCAGCCCAGCTCCGCGGGGAGCTGCTGGCCGTGCACGCACAGATCGTGAGCACGCTGACCCGTGCAAGCGTGGCCCGCATCTTCGCGCGCAAGCAGAACTACGACCTCCGCCGCCTGCTGGCCGGTTCGGAGCGCACGCTAGACCGGCTTCTGGACAGTGTGGAGCGGGACCCCGGCGCCCTGCTGTTGGGCGCCGTGCGCTGTGTGCCTCTGGCCCGCCCACTGCGCGAAGCCCTGGGTGCGCTGCTGCGACGGTGCACGGCGCCCGGCCTGGCCCTCTCGGTGCTGGCCATCGGAGGTCGACTGGTGACGGCGGCCCAGGAGCGGACTGTGTTAGCCGAGTGCCGGCTGGACCCCGCCGACCTGCAGCTGCTGCTCGACTGGGTGGGGGCGCCGGCCTTCGCAGCGGGGGAGGCGTGGGCACCCGTGTGCCTGCCCCGCTTCAATCCGGATGGTTTCTTCTACGCCTACGTGGCGCGCCTGGACGCCATGCCCGTGTGCTTGCTGCTGCTTGGCACTGACCCTGAGGCCTTCCATGACATGGCCACCTGCCGGCGCCTGGTTGAAGAGGGCATGCACGCCCTTGGTGCCATGCGGGCCCTGGGGGAGGCTGCCAGCTTCTCCAATGACCCATCAGCCAGTGCTCCTGCCTACAGCGTGCAGGCTGTAGGGGCACCGGGCCTCCGGCACTTCCTCTATAAGCCACTGGATATCCCCGACCATCACCGCCAGCTGCCCCAGTTTACCAGGTAGGCCCTGACCCTGTGGGCAGTTGGCTGGGCAGGAAGGCCTGAGATCTGGCATCTCGTAGACAAGAGGTGGGAGAGAGCCAGGCATTCTCTAGAAGGATGGGATAGAATAGGTGTCTGCCACTGAGGGAGGCTCAGCCACCAACCTCAAGGAATCCCGTATTCTGATGAAGAAGAGGGCGCCGGTACTCAAGGAGGCCCCTCGGTAGCTGGACTTCCGACCACTGAGAAACCTCAAGTCTAATGGGGGCGGCCGGGCTCCCTCGTTTCATTGAACTCCCTAGACTGAGGGGAGATGGGCCTGCCAAGCAAGCCTCTGACTGACACCGGCCTCCCCTGCCTTCATCACTGCAGCCCTGAGCTGGAGGCCCCGTACAGCAGAGAGGAGGAGCGGCAGCGCCTGTCCGACCTGTACCACCGTCTGCACGCGCGCCTCCACAGCGCCTCCAGGCCCCTGCGTCTCATTTACCACGTGGCGGAGAGGGAGACACTGCTGGCCTGGGTGAGTCGGCTAGGGGCCCCGAGAGAGTTCGTTCCTGACTTCACGCCCCCTTTCCCTCCACTCTATCCCCTCTGACCATAACAGCCTCCATGAGGCACACCCTGCCTTGGCCCTCATCGCTCTTCCTACCATTACACACGTATCTTTGAAACCCACAAGGATTGCACAGTCTACAGCCCTCCTGTACCGCTCTTCTCTTCGTTGTTCCCCCATTAGCTACCAGTACAGCATCCTCAATTTGGAAGAGGTCCCATTAACAGCCATCAGTGTGCCTGTTGCTTTCCCAGTAACCCTGCCCGTATGTCTCTCTGCCAGTTCATTTTTCACTTTGGGAGTCCCCAGCACTCTTGAAGACCACAGGCTTGGTCCTAGGCCGTGCCTTCTACCTGGGGTGTCCTCCCCTGGGGGCTTCAGGGTTCCTCTTCTCACTTCCTGTGGGTCTGTTAAGGGTCAGCTGTTCAGGGAGTTTGGCCAAGGTGACCCCACTGGAAATGGCACCTTCCCTCAGGCTCTGCCAGCTGGCAGACATGTATTAAATCATTCATTGTAAGTTTATTGGGTATGAGGCATTGTTCTCACCTAAGGATTTTATTTTTAAGTTTTTTTAACTTTTATTTCTAAGAAATTTTAGACTTACAAGGAAGCTGCAAAATAGTACAAATAATTACTACAAATAGGTCCCTCACCTGGTTTCTCCAGATGTTAACCACAGGAGCTTTAAAAAAATCAGGAAATTAACATCAATACAACGTCCAATCCTCTGACTTCATTCAGATCTCACCGGTTGTCCCACTAATGTCCTTTAACTGGTCCAGAATCCAGCCCAGAATCATGTGTTGGTTTATCTATTGTTATCCCTTCAGTCTCATTTATTCTAGAATCCCTTCTCAGTCTTTCATTTCTTGTGTGTCCTGGATACTTTTTAAAAGAGTACCAGCTAGATAGTTTGTAGGATGTCCCTCAACTTGAGTTTTTCTATATTTTATCATGACTGAAATAAGGTCAGGCATTTTTGACAAGAATATCAGAAGAGTGAGTGATATGCCCTTCTTTGCCCCGGATCGGGAGATCCACAATGTCAGGTTTGTCCCACTGTTGATGTAACTTAGGTCACTTGGTTAAGGTGGTGTCTCCCAGATTTCTGCACTATGTAGTGTTTTCCCCCTTTACCCCTCATAATTATCTTGTGGGGATTATGTCAGGTTTCTGTTTTTCATCACACTTTCATTCACTAATTTTAATAGCCATTAATGATTCTTGTCTGCAATAATTACTACTCTGGTGTTTGCCATGTGATTTTTGAACTGTATCATCCATTCCACATTTATTATTTGACATTCTACTTCTATATGAAAGAACTCTTCCTCCCCCTACTTATTGGTTGAATTTTTAATTTTATATCAATATGGTCTCATGGATGTTTCTTTAAGTCAGTAAGCTAAAAGCCTTTTCTGTCATTGATTTTGGTGCTGAAACTATCTCAGTGTAGCCGGGGTGGGCCCTGTTTCTTTTTTAGATGTCTCCATCACTGTTTGAGCATTCCTGTTTTCTGGCACACGATGTTCCAGGCTCATCATGTACTTTCTCTGTGCCAGTCCTGGAATCAGCCATTTGTCCAAGGAGCCTGTGAACTTTTGGGGGAGGATGGCATTTCAAAACCAAGATATTGTAGGCCCAGGATTTTAAATTGGGTTGTTAGGGGATGACTCACTGAAGAGATGGAGAGGGAAAGGACCGTGCAAATGCTGTAAGGTGAGACAGAACCTGTATGTTTTAGGAATAGCAAGGAGAGGTTAGAGTGGCTGGAACAGAGTGAGCGAGGGGGAGAGCAGTGAGAGGTGATGCAGAAGTGACCTGGTCACTTGGGTCTCTCTGGTTGGTATAAGGATTAAATGGAATTAATCCTCCTATTATGCCCCGGCTACAAAGGATGAAAACAGTTACGTGGAGCTTAGAACAGAACCTTGTATACAACCGCTCAGTAAATGTTAAGCACTATTGCTGTTATACCTGGGTCCACAGGTGAGCAAACTGACATCCAGGGAGTATGTGTGTGCATGCACGCGCACGCGTACACACACACACACACACACAGACACAGAGCCAGCATTACCCAGCTGAAGCCACTAGATTCAGCTAATTCCTTCTGAATTCCTTCTGAATCTACTGAAAACTACTGAAAACCCCTGGCCCACAGTGACGTAGCACCAGGTGGGAACCCTCGCCCTGTGTGTTTTCCAAACAAGAGACAAGCCTGGGGCCCAGGTAGGGTAGACAGGACAGGGCATGGCCAGCTCTGGCCTAACTAACTCTGTCTCCTCTCAAACCTGCAGGTGACTTCCAAATTTGAACTCTATACCTGCCTCAGCCCACTGGTGACAAAGGCAGGTGCCATCTTGGTAGTGACCAAACTCCTGCGCTGGGTGAAGAAAGAGGAGGATCGACTCTTCATCCGTTACCCACCCAAGTACTCCACACCCCCGGCTGCCCCAGCTGCCTCTACAGACCAACCTTCCCATAATGGCTTGTTCACTGGACCCTGAGTGGCAGAGTTCTTAGATTGGGCCGTGCTGAGAAGCACCACCTTTGGCTTTTACCTTCTGCCTCCAGCCTGGAAATGGGGCAGGAGGACACAGGAAAGGCTGCTTCCCCAGCCTGGTGATGCTCCTCCAGCTCTAGGGACATACTTGGGCCCCTCTGCCCTGTTCTCCCTCTGCCCCACCTCTTCCACTTGGATGACATCCCTCTGTCAGGGGCTGTCTCCTCCAGTCCTGGGCACCACACCCTCTGTCCTGCAGCAGGAGTTGGCCTCCTGGTGGGCTGTGAGCCCTGAGTGTCCAGGGTTGGCCAGGGTCCCTTTGGGTGGTCCACAGGGACTCTGGAATTGGGAATGCATGGCCAGCCTTTATGAAAGGCTTTAAGAAAGAAACCGTACCTAAAAGACCTCAAATCAGTTTCAACAAGGACATTCCTTTGCCCTTCACCTACTTCATCTTCACCCAGTCAGAAGTGACCCCCGTCAATGTTGGCTGCTGGTGGTGGAGAAGGTGGCCTTCTGGGCAGAACACCTGACTGACTTCACACCTGGCTGAGATCCAGACGGTGTGCATGGGAGGCGCGCTCGGCTTCTGAGGCTCGTTGAACTCAGCCGTGAAGTGCAGAGAACCTCGCATCAGCTGTCACGCGAGGATCTGTGAACAACGAAAGGGTTCTCGAACTCTTGGGTACCACTGCACAGTTCACATATGTGTGTCTCGTACTTCCAACCTGCACACGTAGCAACCTAGAGAGGGAAAGGCCTCCCTAGAGTTCATGTGGGTGGGCACAGCACTCCCTTCTCAACCGACCAAGACCCGGTCACGCACTACGGTAGAGTTGGCGGACCTTGGGGTGTACGCATGCGCACTGTCGTTCAGGGGCTCGGGTCCGCGATTCAAAACCTCCGTGCTGCTCCGCCCGGGTCAACTGACAGGCCAACGCGCGCTGCACGCATGCGCGCTCACGTAGGTTTTAGGTGGGTTTTTTTTGTTTTGTTTTGTTTTTTTGACCAATCGTCATCCCAGGTGTACGCAAGCGCAAACCCCACGTTGGAAAATGGAAAACGGCAGGTTGGAGCCTTTGAAAATGAAGCCCCCCGAATTGGTAAAGGAGGCCGAGGAGGCTGAAGGTAGGAAGGGCGAGCCAGCCTCTCTGGGCGCGGCGGAAGGGAGAGAGCCCTGTCCCGTCACAATGACGAAATAGTAATAGCAGTACTAAAAAAAAAAAAGTAAAAATGTAAGCTTTTTATAAAAACAAAACCGTTCACCAAAGGGGAAAAAAATAACGTGCATCTTGTCATCATCTAGATTAACTCCGCTTTATTGGGCACATTGGTTTAAGTGTTTCGAAGGAACAGTCGACTAAATATTTCAATCCGTATCTCCGCAGACGAAACACGGAGACGGATGTCGTCTCAAAAGCCACTGGCTCCTGTCACACCGAGGAGAAGCACAGTAGTTCCCCAGTGTCATTTCACACCCAGCCCACATCCCATCTCTCACGGACTCGAGTCGAGGGGCCTCTCCCGTGCCGGGCATCGCTTTGGGGCCCTTGGTCAATAGTGACACCCCCACACCCCGGCGAGGGGCAGGGGGTGGCCCTAGAGATCATTAGAAAACGTAGTGTGGCCCGAAGGAGGTTTCCTTCTTCAGTGACCCACTGCTATGTCACTAACATTCTTTTTTTTTTTTTTTTTTTTTTTTTTTTGTAGACATTTTTGGAATGTACCAAAGTACAGCAAATAATGTGGTGAAGGCCCACTCCTGTCTCCACAGCTCTGACTTTCTGCCCTCTGATCTCTGTCCCCCTTCGTACACACTCTTTAAACCACTGGATCAATGTCATTTGGACTGCATCTTTCCAGATCTATCTATGCAGACGTCAACAATAATTACGATTGTTCACTTGTTTATTGTTACTTCTCTAGCACCTAAAACAATGCCCGCTTGGCAAGTAGTAGGTGCTTACTAATTTTTTTTTTTTTTTTAATTGTATGAACAGTAACAGGAAGAGCTCTCAGGTTAGGGCTAGGCATCAAGGGCCAGCTTTCAACAAAGGACATTCAGAAGGAAGACAGATGCAAATAGATCTCATATATTAAGCACTTGCTATAGCGCTTAAAATAGTAGCAATTGTGCTAAAATCTATTTTAGAATCCAGCTTTCAAATTAGTCAAAATTGGAGTCATAATTAACTTCACCAGCATTGGAGAAAATTGAAAAGCATGTAAATTAGCATTTCTAGCCCATTGAAAATGGATTTAAAAAGAGAGGGATAAATTAATATTGATTACTGTGTGGGGAAACAGGCTGTCTCTTGCCTCACTCAGAACTGACCAGTAAAGGCTTTGCTAGAAGCGGTTTGGCAGAATATTTTTAGCATCTAAAATGCTATTCCATCTCTTTAGTCACCATGCTTGGTAATCAGGAAATATACAGATGTGTGGCCCATGAAGGACCATCATAGTGTTGTTGATGGAAGGAGAACAAGGAGCAATCAGGGAAATGTCTAGATTTAGATATATCCACGCCTATTGTGGAATGACTGGGTGGTGGACCTTTTTTTAAGCAGTAGGAAAAAAATAAGATAATTAAAAATGAATTTTTAAAAGAGTAAGATCACGGGTTATTGACACAGAATCAGCTTCAAAGGTGATCATACTTTTATGAGAGAAAAGCGAGTTGGGATTTTTAAAAAAATTATAAAGAGGGGCAGTGTCAACTAGAGCCCTAGGTATGTTGCACAGTATCTGAAGGCTAAAGGCCTAACTGATGACTCTTAACCAGGGACTTAACATTTTTAGGGGTGTGCAGAGGTGGAGGCATTTTTGTGATTTTTTTTCTTTTATTTTTCTTTCAGGAATACATAGTGCTATATAATTTTAAAATAGAGAAGGGGAAATTTTGAATGGCGTCCGAGGATCATATTTTGATGTTGATCAGTATTAACATCCCAGTTTTGATGGTTATACTGTGGTTACCTGGTAGAGTCCCTTGCATATAAGAAATATACACTGGAATATTAAGGAATAATGGGCCATGATGCCAGCAATATATGGTACAGAAATGCTCACAAATGAGAAATCAATACAAAGGCAAATAGGAGCACTGTGGCCTTTTTCTACCACTTTTATGTACATCTGAAATTATTTCAAAATAAAATGTTAAAAGGGACTCATGCTGTACAGGCTGTTTTGTAATCTGGATTTCTCAGAAACTTTTTATCAAGATGTTAGTTGGGTTATTTAAGAGATTTATGGATCACTCATAATCACTTGTACTAGAAAGAAAGTGGAGAGGAAAAGTGAAGATGGAGCTTTTGCAGAAATGGTTACAAAAGCCAGCTGTAAAAGACAGGGGGACAATCGAGAAATCACATTGATTACTGGATGGTATTACATGAGGACTGTTAATCTTGTCAGTGTGATGACAGGATTGGAGTTATCTAAAAATGGCCTCAGGTAGTTGAGATTCTTAGTGAAGTATCTGGGGATGAAATGTAATAAAACATACAGCTTGCCTGAAAATACTTCAGCACAGAAAAAACAGCTGAAGCCAATATGGATGAAAGTAATAGTTATCAGATCTTAGCAATGCATAAATAATCACAGTTCATCATGGTGTCCTCTCTATTTTCATGGATGTTTAGAAATTTTCATTTGAAATCCTACAAAGAAAACAATGACGAATACTTCTCCCTGTTAATAAAATAGCTTTAATTTTTTTGTTTCATTTCCAAATATGTTTTTAAAAGATTTTCTTTATTTGACAGAGAGCAGCAGCGGGAGTGGTAGCCATAGGCAGAGGGAGAAGCAGGCTCCCCACTGATCAAGGAGCCTGATGTGGGACTTGATCCCGGGACCCTGGGCTCTTGACCTGAGCCGAAGGCAGACACTTAAGTGACAGCCACCCAGGTGTCCCTTATTCCCAATATTAAGAGTATTGTAAAAATTAAAAGTCTCAAGAAGAGGCATATCCATTATTATTGATTATATCAGAGAAAGGCAGTAAGATTTAGAGCCAAGGAGAGAAGGGGAAGTTTCGTTTTTAACTTCACATATTTTGTAGTGTGTGAATGTTTTGGGGGTAAGAAAGTAAAAAAGCAATACATGAAATACATTTTCCTAAAAGATCTGAGGGTGTTCACCAAACCGTTGGAGGCAGTTACCTCTAGGAAGGGGAGTGACTCATTGAAGGTGTTGTTCCTGAGAGGAAGCTGTTACTTTTTTGTCCTTGTTTTTCTACAGTTGTTTATTAAATAGTCAAAAGTTCAAATGCAAAGTTAAATTAACGCATAGTAATTTGTAAATGATTTGAGACAAGACATGCAAAGAAAGCAAACATACCAGCAAACATTTTAACAAAACCCAATAAGCTCAGGTTAAAAACCCCTGATTTATAACATGATTTGTTTTTAAAGATTGATTTATTTATTTGAGAGGGAGTGAGAGAGTGGGTGGGGGCAAGGGAAGAGGAAGAGGGAGAGAAAGTCTCAGTCAGGTTCTGCACTGAGTGTGAAACCTGACATGGGGCTCAATGTCATGCCCCTGAGATCATGACCCAGGCAGAAACCAAGAGACGGACACCTAACTGACCGCACCACCGAGGCTCCCTCCAACATGATTTTTCATGGCTAAAAAAGATTTCATCCTATGAACATGCCATATTTAACTAAAATATCTTTAGATTGCTTCTGTTTGTAAGATTAGAAATAAGGAACAACTTGCCCACCATCATTTATTCCCTGGAGATAGATTCCTCCTAGATAGGGAATTTCTGATGTAGAGGATTTGAGTAATTTTTTTGATATTTACTACCAAAAGTGTTGAAATGTAATACTGGTTCTGCCTATCAGATTGGCAAAAAATTAAGAAGTTGGAAAATGTACTTGGCTGCTAAGAGTACGGGGAAGGAAACTTTTATGGGCCTGCTTGAAATACGGGGAGAGCAATTTCATAAAACCAGTCAAATTTAGTAGTACACATGCTCTCTGATCCATCAGGTAGCCTAGTAGGAATTTATCCAGTAAATATATTCATATATATGCACAAAAAGTATGCATGGGGATGTTTTTCTGGTTGAATACACGATTCAGTTTTGTCCCTCCCCAAAATTTATGTCTATCAGTACCTTAAAATGTGGCCTTAATTGGAAATAGGGTCTCTGTAGGTATAACTAGTTAAGATAAAGTCATTCTGGGGCGCCTGGGTGGCTCAGTGGGTTGACCTCTATTTTCGGCTAGGGTCATGATCTCAGGGTCCTGGGATCGAGCCCCACATCAGGAACTCTGCTTGGCGGGGAGCCTACTTCCCCCTCTTTCTCTGCCTGCCTCTCTGCCTACTTGTGATCTCTGTCTGTCAAATAAATAAATAAATTCTTAAAAAAAAAAAAAAAAGATAAAGTCGTTCTGGATTAGGATGGGCCCTAATCCAATGACTGGTATCCTTATAAGAAGAGGGAAACTTGCACATACAGAAATTCACAGAATGCCAGGTGAAGACACACACAGAGGAAGACATTTTTTGTGGTACTTTCTTATGGCAGCCCAAGAGAAACTAATACAGATGGTCACTGTGGCCTTGTTTGTAACAGCAAAAGAAGGGAAGCAGCCTGAGTATCTATCAGTAGGGGACTTCTCTTAAATTATTGTCTGCCCGTTCAGTGGACTACTATGAAGCCACTAAAAAGAATAAAAACATCACCAGTATACACTGTCAGATGAAATATACAAGATGTAGGCACCATGTGTGACACACCACCACTTAAAAAGCAAGAGTGGACTTGTGCTTGTATGTGAATTGAATTATCTCCAACTAGACAACAAACAGCTTATAACATCAGTGATCTCTGTGAAGGGGAAGTGAGGAACTTAGGGTCTGAGGAGGAGGGACTTTGCACTGTACGTGTCTGTGAGTAAGCATCTTTTCCTTTACCTTGGGACTCTCATATGCGTTGTAGAGCTGCCTTTCATTTTCTCTGCACCGTGTTCCTTGGAGAGGAGTGGGTCACTGGACCTTGAGCTTTTATCATTGATTTCAAGAGTTTACGATGTTAACATTTTTCCTGTGGGGCTTTTGTTGGTTATAATTTTAAAAGTAATACAGACTCACATTAAATACACATAGGTGTGTATATGGTTAAAAAGGATCTTTGAATCAGGATCCAAATAAGGTATTTTCCTACAACTGAATCATATATATATATATATACATATATATATATATATGCCAAGTCTCTTTTAATCAAGTCTCTTTTTTTTTCTTTGCAATTTATTTCTTGAAGAAACCAAATTGCCCTGTGGCATTTTCCAGCATCTGTTTCCCTCTGGGGTCATTTAATATGTTTCTCTGCCCCTTTCATTTCTTCTGGTTGATATTCAGGTATAGAAGCCTGGTAAGTTTCCTGGGCTGGTTTGGTTTCGTTTTTGGCAAGAATCCTTCATAAGTGGTGTGTTCTGCCATGAGGAGGCTCACAATATCTGGTTGTTCTTTTTTTAATGTTAGCAATAACCATTCCTTACACCCATCAGTTCTTTAGGAATTTGCAAATTGTGACCTATAATGATTTTTTAAAAATCCATATGCAGTCTTCCTGCCCTGCTGCATCGGGTGGAACTGCATACTGATTTTAAACAGCAGCAGCAAAAGCGCATCCCCTTCTCCCACCCTGAGTTT